CGAAATCGCGATTTGAGACGTTGCGATTTCCTAATCGCAAAGCCTGCGATATGGACGCGATATTACTCCAGAGCATATGCATGACAGCCAGCCTTGAGTTGCAGTCTTACTAACCAATAGAGTGAGCGCACCTCCGTTCTCCCCAATCAGCACTGCTCTAGCCAACTGCGTAAACACCCGCCATTAAAAAAATAAAATAAAACAGAAAGCGGGACGGGAGAGAGAGAGAGAGACAGAGTGGGATTATGGCGTCTATTGGGTCAGATCGATAGTTAGACAAATTAAAACTAAAGAAAACCATATGCAACTTAAGCTTCGAAATGTCAGACAACGAACAAAAAAGGTAATTTGCAAGAGCTGCGTCACGCCACATATCAAAAGCTCCCTTATCGGTTCTGTTTTCAGTACTGGAGAATAAAAGATACATTCTTAGATGTTTTTGTTAGTACATGAACGTTATCTTACACATTTTATCTCCCCAACAGATTAATTTGAAATAAGTTTATAATGCATGTTGGCTATTCCCAATTCAGAAGAGCGCACACACAGCCTGTGTCTGTGAATGCTTCTCATACTCACTCCTCTCTGCCCCATGCGGCGCGAATCCCACATCACGGACAAGCCGTTCAGTAAATTCAGCCTAACTGCTTGCTAATTTCACTTGGATGAAATGAAACATTCAGCACATTTTCCACTTGTTCTTAAAGCCCCAAATACTAAAAATGAATAAATTAGCCTATGTAACATGTGTAATACTTTAATAATTGACTTAAGAAATACAGTATTGGTTTTAATGTAAACTATAGTGGTGTCTATTTGATGGATTCTATTGGTGGGATGTAATCTGGCAGATGGCAACCAATAGAACAACAGTAATGTCTATTGGAATAATGCCCAAAACAAAAAGGAATTTTGTAATGGTTTAATGGAAACTATAAGAATTTCTGTGATGGTTTCTATTGTTTTTTTTTTCAGCAGGGTAATGATACCCATACTGTGCTGCACATTATTGACAATATTGAGCTGAAGCTTGACTTTGCAAATTTAAAATCGCAAATCAAATCGCAATCGCAATATCTGTCAAAAAAATCGCAATTTGATATTTTCCCCCAAATCGCACAGCCCTACTGGTTACACAATAAACTGTATCTGGCATTAAATTCAACAAACTCCTGTCGCTTCCCTCTGGGTCACCCCATCAAAGCAAGACTAAGAACATGTATTCCAAAGTCTTCTGAAGCTAGATGCCATTTGAAAGAAAGTAACGGTTTGGAATGACATGAGTACTAACTACATTAAGTGAGTAAAAAATGCTTTTGTCAATGTAGTGTCAGAGGTTGCCATGGAGAGCAGTCCTGGCCCATCCACTTCTTCTGGTTCCAGAGCAGAGGCAGATTCACGAGCACAGAGCAGTGCAGCCAGCACTCCCAGAGCAGGTATAATAAGTAACTTGCAAATCAGGGCGTCTCCTTCATATTAATACAGGAGAAACTGTGGACAGTTTGGTAATGCATATTTTCTTCTTTCACAACAGGAGTGCAGTGCATTCCTCAGAGGGCCGCTCTGTTGAAATCTATGTTGAACTTTTTGAAAAAAGCCATTCAGGACCCTGCATTCTCTGACGGCATTCGTCATGGTATAAAACTCTGCATTTAATGATGCTTTAACTTTTACATTGTGGTTAATACAGCGTTTTAATTTGCTTATATTCATTGCCTTTGCACTCTCTTTATAGTAATGGATGGGTCCCTTCCTACCTCTCTGAAACACATCATCAGTAATGCAGAGTATTATGGACCCTCACTGTTTCTCTTGGGTAAGCATATAGACAACAGTACTTCTGGTGTTGCTGAAATATTAGCCAAACTCTTTATTTACAACTTTTTGTGGATCTGGCTTTAAGGTCACCTCTGCATACAAGAGCAGAAAGTTGTACAATAGTATGGTTAAAAGGCCCTTTGAAAATTGTGGCATTAATTGGTTTGAATCTTGACTGGTTTATTTGCCTACCCTTGTATTTTTTTTCCTAATTCTTTTTCTCTTGCTCTGTTTCAGCGACGGAGGTGGTGACAGTGTTTGTGTTCCAGGAACCCTCTCTACTGTCATCTCTGCAGGACAATGGTCTCACCGATGTCATGCTATATGCACTGCTCATCAAAGACGTGAGACTGGCTTAACAATATACCTGTTTTGTCTCTGTACCATCTCCCTTTCTCTTTCGCTTCTATTTTTGAGCCCACACAGAGCTCAAAACGCTAGTTCGCAAGTAACTGTGGTTCTGTGAATTCCGGATGACCGCCAAAGGCAGTGTAAACACTATGGATTATCGCAGCGCCAGCTAGATAGGTCGAGAGAATATACCAACAAAGTCACGTAGTGACGTATGCTGAGCCCTGGGGGGTTATAAGCCACCGTAGCTCAGCACTCTGCCTCGATACGCCTTTCTCGCGTGACCAAGAACTCTGGTGGTCATCCGGAATTCACAGAACCACAGTTATATGCGTAACTAGTGTTCTGTTTCATTCCTACTGACCGCCAGAGGCAGTGTAAACACTATGGATGACACATACCAACATAGTCATGAGGAATGCCACCCACCTGATGAAAATTAAGGCCGCTTCTGAAGAACCGCAGAACTAACAGCATGGAGATCCTGTATAACGTCTCCCATAACAGAGGGATAGGTGGGAACGCATATAGTAGGCAGTTCGGCCATTCGTGAGACAGTGCATCCTGGTCCAAGGGACTGGATACTTCCGTCCTTGCGGACCATAAATGACAGTGAGTGGTCATCTCTGAAGCAAAAAAATCGACTTCCGCTCTTCTAAATCGTAGCCAGATCTCCTGCACTACATCTAGATGAAGTCTCCATTCTCCTGGATGTACTTGATCCCTGGAAAGAGCGTCTGCAGTCTGGTTGCACACTCCTGGAATTATGAGTTGCCCTCAGTGAAGCGAGTCGCGGCTGACACCATGTCAGGATCTCGTGAGTAAGCTGTAGAGACCTGCGAGATTTTGTGCCGCCCTGGTTGTTCAGATGGAACACTGTTGAGGTATTGTCGGACCGAACGAGAACATGGTGGCCTGCCAGGACTGGCATGAAATATTTTAGAGCCAAGAACACGGCATGTAGTTCCAGCAGATTGATATGTTCTGTGGCCTGGGTCGGTGTCCAGCGCCCGCAAATACCTCTCCGATTCCACGTTGCCCCCCACCCTGTGAGGGATGCGTCTTTTGTGACTAGGGTTGGGTATCGATTAATTTCATATAAGGTGGTATTAAAAAGGTCTTAAAAATCTTAAATTTAACTTGTTCAAGTCTGCAGAAACCCTGTATTAGTAGGGTTGGGATCGATTGGGTTTTTTACGATACCGGTGCCAAATCGATACTTTTAAAACGGTAACGGTGCCTGAACCGATACTTTAAAAAAAAAAAAGAGCCAGAAAAAAAACATTAACAACATTAATACTCCACTATCCAGTTTGACAATCTCTGCTTCGACACTGGAGCACCTTTCTTCACACCACCATAGCAGACAAATATCTGGTCTGACTGTCGAAATTGAGCAGTAGAGCTCACATAGCACTTCAAGGCATGCATAGCACGCACAGGACACAAAAGTTGGGTACTTGAATCAGACCCTGAAGAAGTCTGAAAAGAGGCCAGTTCGATGTGCTGGTTTATGAACTGAGGAAGAAGGAAGAAAAGAAGGATTGGGTCGTAGAACCACCCTGGAATCATCCGGCAACCAACGCAAGCACAATTCGTTAACAGACAGCGCGTGCAACTCACTGACTCGTTTCGCAGACGCGATAGCCAACAAAAAAAATGTCTTCAAGGACATCCATTTAATGTCAGTGCTTTGCAAGGTGTCTTTAATCAGTTCTGTGAATGACTGTATGGTATGCCACATGCAATATGTTTTATATAAAATTTTCAAATGAAAATAGCAACCTGATCGTTTTATAAAGTATGCGTTCATATGTGTTAAGGGCTAGATTTTCGTTGGAGGAAACAGCTGTGGTGTGATGGGGGTGAACGCAGCGAAAACTTTACAGTAAAGTTAGATGGGAAACTGATTGCTAATGTCAGTGCTTTGCAAGGCCTCAAACTGGGATGAGCAAATGAACGTAAGCACAAGTGGCAGATCCCACACAGGGAAGTGAGGAGTCCGAGCAGGGTTCAGACGTCGTGCACCCTTCAGAAAACTGCAGACAAGACTGAGATCCAAGAGAAGATCCACCAACTGAAGCATGATATGCAGCAATCGCAGCGACGTACACTTTCAACGTGGAAGCTGCCTTGCTCTCCTTCAGTAAATGTTGAAGAAAGTTTAAGATGCTCGGTATGTCGCATCATCGCATGTTGGTATTTATGACAAAGAACTGCATAGATACAGATATTATAACAATCTTATCGATAAACGCATACCTTGCGTCCTCTGTTTCTGTTTGAGTCCGCTCGTGCTGTGCCGCCCTTATAGTCCCGCTAAAAATGGCCTAGCGATGCCCATGCTTCTTACGTCTATTTCGGAGAACCAGGACAAATATTTCAAGCGATCGCTCAGGCATTTAAGTGGCACCGGAATGAGGCACCAAAATCTGCGTTCTGATTCGGTTCTAGTACATACCGGTTACATAAGTATGGTACAACCCTAGTTGTGACCAGTTCCCGACGAGAGGGAACAACACCCAGGGGCACTCCTGCCTTCAGAAACTCTTACCTGTCCCCACCGCCTCAATGCACGGATGCAACGGTGAGAAATTACAACCAGCCGATGGCGATGTCTGGTGGGATCTAGCCGCAAACTGTTGTTCCATAACTGTAGTGGTCTGAGGTGGAGTAAACCCAGGGGAATCACCACTGTGGCTGCCGTTAACATCCCTATTAGTCGCAGGACCACCTTGTACTGCAAAGACACCCTGGCGAAAGCGAGCCAAAAGTTGCAGAATGTTTGTCACACATTCCTGAGACAGGGAGGCAGACATTAGGTGGGAATTCAGGGTCATTCCTATGAACATAGTGGTCTGTGTTGGAATCAGACAGCTCTTTTTCTCATTCACAGTAAAACCCAACTTCTGCACATGTCTCAAAAGTAGTCTGGAGTCTTGCACAGCCTGCTGTTTCGTGGGGGCACAAAGGAGCCAGTCGTCCAAATATGGCAGAATAAGCATACCTCTTATCACTCAACCTATCTCAACCAGGCGAGAAAGCGAAAGAGGCAGAGTGCTGAGCTATGGTGGTTTATAACCCCCCAGGGCTCAGCATACGTCACTACGTGACTTTGTTGGTATATTCTCTCGATTTACCTAGCTGCTGCTGCGATAATCCATAGTGTTTACACTGCCTCTGGCGGTTAGTAGGAATGAAACAGAACTCCTTTTGTCTGTTTCAAGGTCTTTGACCACCCCCTGTTCAGTCATGCTAGACTCTTTTTCCCACCAAATACTTCTCTAATGTTTTTCCATTGCTGTATTCCTCCCTCTTGGATAGTCCAGCAACTCATGTCATGACGCATTTTAGACCTCTTTTATGCCTTTGTTTCTGCAGGTCCCTGCCACCAGAGAGGTGCTAGGTTCCCTGCCTAACGTCTTCAGCGCCCTGTGCCTGAATGCCCGTGGTCTGCACTCATTTGTGCAGTGCCAGCCCTTTGAGCGGCTGTTTAAGGTGCTGCTCTCGCCAGACTACCTGCCAGCCATGCGCCGTCGACGCAGTTCTGACCCACTAGGTGAGTAGCCCCTATAGGTTGTACCTCTTTCACACAGTAAGTGACTTGTATTTGCAGATAATAGGAATGTGTTTCTAACAGGCAGTTTGATTTTATGAAACAGGGGACACCGCCTCTAACTTGGGCAGTGCTGTCGACGAGCTAATGCGGCACCAGCCTACACTTAAAACAGACGCTACAACAGCCATCATCAAGGTAAAGTGGATAGTGCTGAAACATTTTGACACATCTTAAGAAATGCCCTTTTATTGCAGTGCTATATGCATACTTAAACACCTCTTTCTTTCGGAGTCCTTGAATTTGATTACTAACTTGACCTTTAACAGTTGTTAGAGGAGATCTGCAACTTAGGCCGATCGCCAGAATACGTCTGCCAGAAACCCTCCATACAGAAAGCAGATGGGACCGTCACGGTGCCTCCAGCTCGCTCGAACCATGCTGCAGAGGAGGCCTCCAGTGAGGATGAGGAGGAGGAAGAGGCTCTACATACCTTTAGCCAACAGCAGGGGGAGCCAGAGAGCAACAGGCAGTTAGTGCATCAAAATAGCTTCTAGTGTTCCTTGCTTTCAATACCATGTTTGAGAAATCTATATTGTTTTAGATCTAATTAATAGACCGTTTTTAACAAATTAATGATTTTTACAGAGTGGTGGGAACAGAGGAGCGAATCCCCATTCCTCTTATGGATTACATTCTGAATGTGGTACGTGCAGACCTAGATTCTTTGCATCTTATCTTATTCTTTTTTTCCCCTTCTTCTTATTATTTTTTAGACTGTCTATTCTGACTTGATCTTACTGCATTCACACAGTTCATTGGCTGTTTATGAAAATGCATAGTCTAAATTTAGATGAGAGTTTGCTCTCCAAGGACTGGAACTATAATATGTGCCTTTCCTTTTAGATGAAATTTGTGGAGTCCATACTTAGTAACAACACAACAGATGACCATTGTCAGGAATTTGTCAATCAGAAAGGACTTCTACCACTGGTGTCGATCCTTGGGCTGCCCAACCTGCCCATTGACTTCCCCACCTCTGCTGCCTGCCAAGCTGTGGCAGGAGTCTGCAAATCTATACTGGTAAGATTGACACCTACCTGTAGGAAATACAGAATTTTCTCCTAATCATATGTGTCAGGTATTTTGCTTTAGATGCTGTGATATTTAGGGTGTTCACACTTGTCATGTTTGGTTCGATTAAAACGAACCCTGGTGCGATTGCTCTGTTAGTGCGATTCGTTTGAGTAAGTGTGGATGCTGCCATCCGGACCCTGGTGCGCACCAAACAAGCGGACCGAGACCGCTAAAAAGATGGGTCTCAGTCCCTCTGGTGTGGTTCGAATGAAATATGAACGCAACACGGACCAAATACTTCATTTTATACAAGTATGAACACACCCTTAGTGTTTCATTTGATTGTTTTCTCCCCTCACTTTCTCACTGTGTCTTAGACTTTGTCCCATGAGCCGAAAGTTCTCCAGGAGGGTCTGTATCAGTTGGACAGCATACTGTCTGCTCTGGAGCCTCTTCACCGGCCCATCGAGGTTCCTGGTGGCTCTGTGCTGCTCAGAGAGCTGGCCAACACAGGCCATGTTACGGAAGCCACACTATCGGCACGAGCCACCCCACTGCTGCACGCCCTCACAGCAGCACATGCTTACATCCTTATGTTCGTTCATACCTGCAGAGTTGGACAGGTATGCATAAAGGCAGCTGTATTTTCATTAGGGCTGCATCTAATGATTATTTTGATAATAATTTAATCTGTTGATTATTGCTTCAATTAATTTGAAAAAAAAAAATGAATCCATTATTTACAAAATTGTTATGCCACATCCTGCCCAATGTTGTCATCCGAGCAATATGCAATTTGAGGGACAACAAAACAAATGTACTGAATGTGTCTCTGCAGGCTGTGTGCAATTAAACATTATGTGCAGAAAAGGGGGTTACAGTTTAAGTGAATTGCTTACCATTTGAAAAGAGAATTAAAACAATGACTAAACGTTAACTGGTGCAAGGTAGGAGGAACATAAATTCACTCTATTCATCTAAACATTACATTTACTAAATTACCAGACCTGCCAACCTGTAAACATTTTTGACCTCAAAGTACGCTGGTATGATTTGTCACTCTAAACTACGCAAAAACCTGGTGACAACTCGTCCATGCGCAGTACTCAAATCAAGCAACAGCAAAAAAAAGGTAGAGTTCATCCAATCAGAGTGCTGGGTTCATTCCCCAAATAGCAAGCGGGGAGGATTTACAAATGCGTAAAGCTTATTAAAAGGAGACTGCAAATCAACAGCAAAACTAAATCCAGCTTGATCCCCCTTCCACTCCCGCCGTCTGACTGATTTCTTAAGCGAGGACAGTACAGTAGTCATTATTTCGGTTGTGCGTTTAAATAATTTCTGTGCATTCTATTTCTCTCAGAATTGGCTCTGTTTGTTTGCCTGTGAGTTCACATGCTGAGATGAGCAAACGCCTCCCCGCTTACAACGTGCATTTGAAAAAGCCAGACCCAGCGAACATCTTCCACTCTTAATGACCTGTAATGAGAAGCATTTTTATACCTATTGTCCAACAAAAGAGAACATTATAACATGTTTTTTATTTCACAACATCAGTCGAATGTTTGAAATGACTTCATTTTCTGATCTGATGTGGCTTCTTATCACAGAATGAGGCATAAAATATATTTTATACTGTAAAAAAGGCTGTCGATTTGCAATGGATTATAAATATACATAATTATTATGAAAATACCCGAGATGGCTTGAAGAACACAAACTATATATCGTCTCAGTCGAGTGTTTGTCTTCATGTTTCATAATTCAAAGCAGTTCTATATTCTTTTTTTATTCAGTTAAAGTAGTGGTTCCTAAAGCTTTTGCAGCATGCACCCCTTTATAGTGTTTGACATGTCAAGCACCCGCACCACCTTACTCCGTTTGAACACCCCATTTTTAACTGCAATAATACAAATATTCACTGTATACAAGGCTTGACATAAACTTTTTTGCTCACCAGCCACTGGTTTTCCAAAATTACTAGCCACTCAGCATTTTCATTGGCCACAATTCTGTTGTTGGGAAATTAGGTTTTTTTTGACTAAAGTTACTGCATACTAAAATTTATTTAAATTGATTTCCAGGTAATTTTTTGCCTATTTAAAGGGCATTTTTCACTAAACGTATTAAATGCATGTGTCATCTTTAATATCAAATTCTTACATTTTATTAATAATTACACTTAATGTATTAAGACACTTTAGGACTGTTACCAATCAAATGAAATCAGTATTAACAATACCGATCTTTCCACTGCAGAAGAAACAGAAGCAGCTGAAGTGGCATTTAGATGCAATTACAGTTTAATGAAGCTGAAATGTAGCATGAATGCATTTACACTGCAAAATTACAACAGCATAAGTAATGTTATGAGCTTGGTGTTTTAAATCAGTTTTTTTTTTAATGTACATTACAAATATGAAATGTTGGAAAAAATACAAAGATATGCTACTTTTAAATATGAAAGTGAACACCAAATGTAATAAAATTTGAATAATTCTTGCTGAAATTTCGGCGCTTCCCTAATTAGATGTTTTAATCAGATTAGTCGTCCAGTCGGGCAAGCAAAATTCTCTTTCACTTGCCCCTTCAAAAAATCCTCTTGTCCCGGACAAGCATTAATATCAAGCTCTGTTACTGTATATAAAATTCAACCCACCAAAGCGGGAGTGACCATATTACCCGCCTCTGCTGAAATCCACACTTGCATTTGGCAGGTGTTAATGTCAAGTCCTGACTGTATATTAGAAAACGGCAAATTTCAGTTAGAAATAAAAAATATGACTTCCTACCCTTTTTTAATGAGATGGATGTGCCTGCATGTTTGCACGCAGATCATCAAAATCATTCTCTCGTGCACCCCTGGTGGTCAGTCTGCGCACCCCATTTTGGAATTGCTGAGTTACAGCAATAGCTGGATTCTTTTGTCCATATTAAGGATTTCCTGAAGAGTCATCAGTTCTAAAACTTCTGTGATGCATATGTGGAGTTTCTTTGTGAGGGCGCCCTCTGGCTACCAGTATGAATGAAATGGATATTACATGTATTTATAGCGCTAAATAATGGCCAGTCCATAAAAATAATACTTGTCTCAAAAGAAATTTGAAGTAGACGTGATAATCCCTGTTTTTCTACAGTGTACAGAAGTATACTGGAGTTTTAAAGTGTATTGGAGTTTTTTTTATGTTTTATATATAGCATTTAAAATCGCAAATTGCAAAAAAATACTCTAAACCAAACACTGTGGTTAAAGGTGTGTGTGACTGAGTGCAGACCTGCCAACCTTTGAAACGGTGTTAATTTCGTCGACAACGAAAAATATTCGTTAAGGAAAATTTTTTCTGTGACTAACAAAAGACGTTGACGAGCTAAAACTAATATCTGATGATTAAAAACTATGACGAAATTTATGCCGCGTCTTCGTTAACAAGACGAGATGGGACTATAATGTTATTTGAGGACTACCGGACATTCAAAATACATCCTATAGGCTACTGTCTTGTCCTTCAAAATGTGTGTCCCTGTCATTGGATTGCAATCAGATAAGGGCTGTTTGCATATTGTCTCAGTATGGCAGCCGCAGTGGATGGATAGGCTACCAAAATGCGCACTAGCGATCCGAAACAATGGCCTCAGCACCCGAAGGGGTAGGGATAAGGTGACCAGACGTCCCGGGAGTCACAATTCGTTGTTGATTAACTTAAAGTTAGTGAAGGCGGGATAGGCGGAATCGCACTGATAGAAGTGCGCTCGCTCTCGCGCACGCTCTACTTCCTCAGTTCTCATATACAGCGCGCGATCAGTTCTCAGTGCTCAAATACACACACAGCAGTCCAAATGTCTATCGTGTAGCGTATCTCACATAAATACAGTCGGTTATGGATTAAGTGAACGTAAACAGGTAAACTGAACGTGTGTCAGTATTACATGCATGCCTTCCATCTTAAAGGGACAGCATTCCTAATTAAGTACCTATTCGTGTTATTAATGTTAATAACCAACAAAAGATGTTAAATAAATGTTAAGTAAACCTACTGTATCTGAAAAAGATTCTGCTATTCTGCTAAGATTATTCTGCTTCTTTTTCAAAAATTATAAATTATATATATTATATATGAACAACTATAATTTTTATACGTTGCTCCCTTTTCACAACTGTTAAAGGGATAGTTCACCCAAAAATGAAAATTGTCGTCATTTATTCAAGTTTTTCCAAATTCAATCCTTGATTCAAATTTCTCATAAGCTTAATTGATTTGGTCTAAAGAGAGAAGAATTAATGACTATTTTGTTTGAAGACTACATATAAAATAGCTACCAAAATAAATGTTGGTAACTGCAGTTTGACTAAAAGTTGACAAAAATGCAATGACTTTTTGTCGACTAAAACTATGAAAGACTGACTAAAATGTGACTAAGACTATTAAGCATTTTCGTCTCAAGATAAAGACTAAGACTAAACCAAAAATGCCTGTCAAAATTAACACTGCTTTGAAAAATTGTAACATTGTGCAGTTATGATTTTGACATTAGCCATAAAGGAGCTTCAGGTAATAATGTAGCTATGTCCACAAAAGTCTGTGGTTATTAATCGATAATCAGATTTGTAGATTATTTTCATTATCGGTTATCAATTTTCACATTGAGTTATTGTTGCCCGAATAATTAAAGCTTAGTGTCTTAGCAGAAAGAGGCTTGAAGTGTGAGAAGATGTTTAGAGTGCGAGGACTGATGTGGTACCTCTTGTTCCTTTTCTTTCAGAGTGAGATCCGTGCTATCTCAGTGAATCAGTGGGGATCTCAACTGGGTCTGAGTGTTCTGAACAAACTGAGTCAGCTCTACTGCTCTCTGGTGTGGGAGAGCACTGTGCTGCTGTCCCTCTGTACACCAAACAGGTTGGTACTGCTCTCATCTCACAGCTGAAACTTAAGCATGTGGTGGACTTTTAAAATGTCCTCACTCAATCTATTGGTGAAATGATACACTTCTCTCTGGTGATGTATGCCAGACTTATACGGTTATTTAGTCCACTGAAACCCTGCTCGTCCACAATTGACTGCAGGCTCGCATTCATTTTTGAGTGATGTATGTCTCAATATGGAAAGAAAACATCTGTTGCTGCTTCTTACTATTGTACAGTATAGAATTAGGCCAGGTGGTTGTCTACTAACTAAAACGGAATGTTCTTTGTTTGTTTTGTGATTTGTCCTGTTTGTCTTTTTTGCAGTTTGCCTCCTGGCTGTGAGTTTGGTCAGGCTGACATGCAGAAACTTGTGCCTAAAGATGATAAACCCTCCAGCAGCACAGCAGCTGCAGGAAGGAAAACTGGTAAAAATACTGCAATAACTGCAGAGTGGCTATTTCACACTTAAATTCATAATAAATCTCACTACCTTTCTCTGCCTCCTTATTTATTATGATTTTATATGTACAATTTTTTATATGTACAATTTTAGCCACCAGTTTCTCTCTTTTATTTCCTCTTTCCTGTCTTTTTGCACCTCGGTTCCTTTTATTTGCATTTCATGTCCTTTTTTTTGCTGGTTTGCATTTGCTTTTTCTTTTCTAAAGCCCTTCTCTCTCCATCAGCTGACACTGAGACCATGTCTGTGGGAGTGGATCCCTCTGCTCAGGGCTTGCTGGAAGGAATGGGCCTGGATGGAGACTCTCTCGCTCCCATGGAGACGGATGAGCCCACAGGCACTGACCCCAAGACTAAGTCTAAACTCACCCCTGCCATGGCAACACGCATCAAACAAATTAAGCCTCTGCTCTCAGGTCAGCGCCAATGGAGCCGTCGCAACCACTTTAATCAGTTATTTAATACATAAAATGAGAAATCCTGAATAACATTGCATCTGTCTCTTTATCTCCCCAGCCTCCTCTCGTTTGGGCAGGGCTCTGGCAGAGCTCTTTGGACTGCTGGTGAAGCTCTGTGTGGGCTCGCCTGTCCGTCAGCGGCGCTCTCACCATACCACTAGCACAGGCACCGCCCCAACACCTGCGGCTCGGGCCACTGCTTCTTCTCTTACTAAGCTCCTCACCAAGGGCTTGAGCTGGCAGCCACCTCCCTATACACCCACACCTCGTTTCAGGTAAATACACCTGTAGCGTTGTAGCAAAGTTTACTCTATAATTCTGAACATGGCATTAGTATCTTTAATGATAGTTTAGTAAAAGGAGCTGCTTTAATCCAATGAAAACAGGCTTCCCTGAGCCTTGTCTTTCCTGGAGGTGTATGAGACTAATATTTATGTGCTTCTCTTTCCTAATCAGGCTGACTTTCTTTATCTGCTCGGTGGGCTTCACTTCACCCATGCTGTTTGATGAGAGGAAATATCCATACCATCTGATGCTGCAGAAGTTCTTCTGTTCTGGTGGCCATGATGCTTTGTTTGAGTGAGTAGAGAAGGGGTGTTTTTTCTTTCTTTTTTTTTCTTTTCTTTTTTCTCAATTTCTATATATTTTTTTTCCTGTTTACTAACCCGTAGGCCGGGTTTCGAATGGTCATGGAAATTCATAACCTTAGACCTGAAATAATAAAATCCTAAGTGATTTGAAAATATGGTCTTTTTTACTGCATGATTATCATGGCCAAAAGAATTCACAAAAAAACAATATTGCATTAGCTATGTAAGTTGAACAAATAAATATCTGAACTAAAACTAAAAAAAAAAAAAAGAAAAAACTTGTTCATTAAAACTCAAAAATTTCCTAACAATTTACCCACCCCCATGTCATCCAAGATGTTCATATCTTTCTTTCTTCAGTCGCCATGAAACTAAGGTTTTTAAGGAAAACATTCCAGATTTTTTCTCCATATAATGGAATGTTTTCCTCAAAAACCTTAATTTCTTTGCGACTGAAGACAGAAAGGTATGAACATCTTGGATGAAATGGGGGTAAGTAAATTATCAGGAAATTTTAATTCTGGAAGTGAACTAATCCTTTAATTGTGCTCTTTTGACTTTCTTTAGTATTATACTTATTACAATCATTAAAAATGCTTTGTGTTCATCAGGACATTTAACTGGGCCCTATCCATGGGAGGTAAAGTGCCCGTGTCAGAGGGCTTGGAACACTCTGAGCTGCCTGACGGGACAGGAGAGTTCCTAGACGCCTGGTTGATGCTAGTAGAGAAGATGGTAAACCCCAGCACTGTTCTGGACTCCCCACACTCTCTGCCCACTAAAGTGCCTGGAGCAACACTCAACACCCCACAGTTCAGTGCATTGCGCTTTCTCATCGTTACTCAGAAGGTATGACATTTAATGTTAATATAAATAATATAAATACACTTTATTATTATAGCAAATCAGCACAGTTCTGATTTTTCCATCTCTTTGTGTAGGCGGCATTCAGCTGTATTCGTAATCTGTGGAACCGTAAGCCCTTAAAGGTCTATGGTGGACGCATGGCTGAGTCCATGCTGGCCATTCTGTGCCACATCCTACGAGGAGAACCTATCATCCAGGAGCGGCTCTCCAAAGAGAGGGAGGGCACTGCTCGGCCTGATGAGGAGAGCAGTTCTGCAAGTGGTGGGGGAACTAGTGGGCCTTCAGGAGCAGGGGGAGTAGTTGGAGAAGGAGTGACTGGAGGTGCCAATGGCAGCACTGCTGGAGGCTCCACTGAGGATGGCAGCAACCCTGCAACACGCAGAGAGCCACAGGTCAACCAGGCTCAGCTGACTCAGGTACTGTCACTTCCTAGCCCTGTGATATTTTATAAATTCTAATGGTTTAAATTTTAATAATCAGAAACGATTTCTAATGAATTGAATTAAATACAATTTTAACAATTTGTTAAAATAATAATAATAATGCCTTTATAAAATGATTTTTATTTTTTATTTTGTTTTAGTCTTTTTTTCTGGATTCTGTGTTTTATGATATAATGCAAAGATATAAAAAACTGTAATCAAATTAATGCATAGATCTTTAACAATTTAATAAATCTTTTTAAATGTAATCAAATGAATCGCCAATCGTTCACACATAAATGAGGTTGTGTCGTAATCAAGATCTATAATACCTGAAGAGAGCTATTAGCCATTGCTAACTAGTCAAACCTCGACCTGCTTCACAGCTGATGGACATGGGCTTCTCCAGAGAGCATGCGATGGAGGCTCTTCTAAACACCAGCACTATGGAACAGGCCACTGATTACCTGCTCACACACCCTCCACCACTGCTCAGCGCAGCTGTCAGAGTAAGAGTCTAACACACAGACAAAACTCTCTCTCTTTCTCTCATACGCACGCACACACACACAAGCATACACAGACAGGATGCACACACGAGCTATAAGTTAGTGTAGTCACTGTGAGCTTTGTTTCTGTAGGAGTTCACCATGTCTGAAGAAGACCAGATGATGCGGGCCATTGCCATGTCTCTAGGTCAAGAAGTTAGCATGGAGCAGCGCTCAGACTCACCTGAGGTGGGCACCTACACACTCATCACCTCAGTTAAATAGGAATTACTGAGTAGCACAGCATAGGCCACCTCACCTGTCTACTTCTCATCTTCACTAAACTTTCCCTGCCTTTGGACAGATATGCGTCACATCCGTGTTACTTTTTGTTTGTAGGAAGCAGCTCGTCGGCGTGAGGAGGATGAGAGGAGAGCAAGGGAGCGGGTAGAAGAGGAAGAGGCACGCTGTCTGGAGCGTTTCCTGGAAGCTGAGCCTCTAGACACCACAGAGCTACATGCCTTTACAGACTCAATGCTGCCTGGCTGCTTTCACCTGCTCGACGAGCTGCCGGACACAGTGTACCGCCTCTGTGATCTGCTCATGACTGCTATTAAAAGGAACGGCCCTGAGTACAGGGACCTCATCCTTAGACAGGTGGTCAATCAGGTCAGTATACCCATATGTTCACAACATACTAATTGGAATAGGTATTTTGGCAGTTACTGAAAGTTACTCGTACACATCTAGTCAAATAACTGGACACACGTGACATGAATGTATTTTTTGTGGTCTTAGAAAAAAAAAAAAAAATGTATCTAAAGCAGGGGTGTCAAACTCAGTTCCTGCAGGGCCACAGCTCTACAGAGTTTAGATTCAACCCTACTTAAACACACCTGATCCAGATAATCAAGTCCTTCAGGCTTATTTGAAAACTGCATGCTATGTGTCTTGGAGCAGGGTTGGAACTAAACTTTGCAGGGCTGCGGCTCTCCAGGAATTGAGTTTGACACCCCTGATCTAAAGGTTTATCTTTAAACTAAACGTACTGACCCCTAATGTTTGAATGGTAGTGTATATTTTTCACACACAAATTTATCTTTTATTAAATGTTCAATTTTCTGTATAAAGAACATTTTAAATAATCGCTGGAAATTTATATAAGATTGCAACACATAAAAATGCATGATTAACAAGTATCAGCTGAAGTGCTGGTCACATTACTGTCAGCTGACCCAAAACACTCTCACACTTGGCCCAGGACAGTAGGCCATCCTTATTGTTGTGTACTGTATCTACGATGCTTAACAAAGATTTCTGGGTAGGTTGCATATTAGGTTTTGAGTTAAAACCATGACCCTATCCTCAACTGTATGTTTGTGTATGTTTCCAAAGGTGTGGGAGGCTGCCAGCGTGTTGATAAAGGCTGCAGTGCCGCTAACAACCAGCGACACCAAGACAGTGTCTGAGTGGACGAGACAGATGGCGACCCTCCCCCAGGCCTCCAACCTGGCCACCCGCATCCTGCTGCTCACGCTGCTCTTTGAGGTACACAGTCTTGCACATCATCACTGTTTATTTATTCACTATCCTCTAAAAGAACTTAAGGATCTGCATGCACAAGTACATACACCCACTGTGCTTTTCTGATGGAAGCGTGTCGTGCTATGTGCCACAGGAGCTGAAACTCTCATGTGCTCGGGTGGTGGAGAGCAGTGGTGTTTTGACTCTGCTGATTAAGCTGTTGGAGGTGGTGCAGCCCTGTCTGCAAGCTGCCAAAGAGCAGAAGGACATCCAGACACCCAAGTGAGTCCCTGTCCTTCCCCTGTCTGCATGAGTGATCAGTTTGCGCTCAGACATCAGCATTCCTAGAAAGCTCTGCTGACCCAAGCATGTTAGAGAAGAATTTGTTTAGAGAGGAATATTGTTGTTTGGGGCCTTATACAACAATTTATGGCATTTTTAATGTAATAAGATATATAAACATATGTTTTCCATGTCTGTTTGAACAATCCTGTGTTTATTTTTAGATGGATCACCCCTGTTCTCCTGCTTATTGACTTCTATGAGAAAATGGCTGTTTCATCCAAACGAAGAGCTCAGATGAATAAGGTTGGTTCCAGATGAAGTATAAAGGCGGTCTGTTTTAACCCTAAACCGTCAATATGACAGCAGTGAACAAGTTCTGTATCTAGTGTTATATTAACTTTATTCTTATCATTTTAGTACCTGCAGCCCAATGGAAATAACTGGCGCTGGTTTGACGACCGTTCAGGCCGCTGGTGCAGCTACAGTGCAAGTAACAACAACACCATCGACTCAGCCTGGAGGGCAGGAGAGACCAGCGTACGCTTCACTGCAGGCCGCAGGAGATACACTGTCCAGTTCAACACCATGGTGCAGGTAACAGCTACATCCTGGTCAAAGCACTTGTATTGTAGATCAAATAGAAATGTGATGAATTTATGCCAGTGGCCTTACAGTATGAGTAGTAGATCTTTGTTCTTAGATTCTTTCTATTTCTCTTTTTTCAGGTGAATGAGGAGACTGGGAACAGACGGCCAGTTATGTTGACAGTACAGCGGGTGTCACGGATGCCTAAGACCTCAAAATCCGGAAGTGTTAATGATACAGAGAGAGAAGAGAGTGAACAGAGAGCAAAGACTGAGGAGACACAGACTGACACAGGTGGAGAATTCGCAAGCCTATACAGTTCAAACATTTTTTCATTGTGCGAGGGGAAAAAAGTTACGGAGTCCATCTTTGTTTCTGCTTTTCACAGAGTTTTGGCTTTGGCCAAGAATAAAATAAAATAATTATTTGATTAATTATAAAAAGAATAATGATTATAATTCATTAGCATTTTGGATGTTTTTTTATTTATTCATATGTTAAATTTAATTACATTTTTCTTTTTCGACTTTATCAGATTCCAGCTCTGTGGCTGTGGAGATGGCACCCCCTAAAGAAGAGTCAGAGCAGAAGGATTCAAGCACTGCAGCTCCCTCTACCCTTCAGGACCCCTCTGGTTCCAGCGGTATTGTTGTACAGGGGATGACAGAGGACATGATCACTGTTTTGATCCGTGCCTGTGTCAGCATGATCAGCGTTCCCGTGGATCCGGACACTTTACATGCCACTTTGCGTCTCTGTCTGCGTCTCACACGTACACACCATTACGCCATGATGTTTGCAGAGCTCAAGAGCACTTGTATGATCCTGAACCTCACTCAGAGCTCAGGGTTCAACGGCTTCACCCCATTGGTCACTCTGCTCTTCCGTCACATCATAGAAGACCCAGCCACCCTGCGACACACTATGGAGAAGGTGCATATTCACATGAAAGCTACATTTCTATTATCTTAGGTGTATTATCGGAAATGGTTTATCCTTGTCTCACTGCTACTTGCTCACTCTTTTTTTTTCAGGTGGTACGGTCTGCTGTCACCAGTGGTGCAGGAAGCACTACTTCAGGTGTGGTGTCGGGTAGTTTGGGCTCCAGGGAGATCAATTACATCCTTCGTGTCCTTGGCCCAGCGGCCTGTCGCAACCCAGAGTGCTTTACGGAAACTGCCAAGAGTTGTATCCGAATTGCTCTCCCGGCCCCAAGAGGTGCTGGCACTGGTATGGTGGAAAATCTCCCAGAAATCCTCTCAAAAATAATATATCAGCATAATGTGTTGTTCTAAAGCTTCACATCTCTCTGTTATTCAGCCTCAGATGATGAGTTTGAGAACTTCAGAATTAAGGGTCCAAATGCTGTTCAGCTAGTGAAGACCACACCCCTGAAGCTGTCCCCACTGCCCTCCATACCAGAGACTATTAAAGAGGTCATCTGTGACATGCTGAATGCCCTAGCAGCATATCATGCTCCAGAAGAGGGTAAGAAATATTGTTAGACAAAAAAATGAGAGCATGCATTTTATTTAGTTCATGGTCCAGAGCTATCAAGCTGACTTCTCTCATTAACATCTACTTCTCTTAATGCTCGGTCCATTTGGGTTTGTTTATATATAGCAGAGAGGGGAGAGGAGCGGGCAGCCGCAGTACCGGGAAGTCAAGACCTGTGTCAGATCCTGCAGGATGTTGGTGATGATGTCTACCAGCAGTACAGACTTACCAGACAAGGCAGTGATTTTGACTCACAGTCTGCCTTCCACATCAATGTAAGAGTACATGGATTTATATATGTTGTGTAAGGTCTGTCAGTTTTTTGTGTATTGTATCAATTATCATAGAATGCCATAATTAGCATCACTATTGATAATCAAATCAATCAATTTTATCCAGACCTAGAAAATTCATTGAGATAG